TATAACCATTATATTTGTACAATCTTGAGAAGGTGGCATATCAGTAATAAAATCAATTGTCAGCTCGCTTCCTATTCGGTCAGGAATTGGCAGTGATCGAAGAAACCCAGCCTTCGCCTCTCGCCATACTGTCGTACGACCACAGACATCACAATTCCGTATAAAACGACGGACCGATTCCCTCATCTTTGGCCAGAACCATCGCCTTAAAAGTATGCCAATCATTGTATCTTTGCCCGGGTGACCTGCTGGGTAGCTATCGTGTGTCCGCTGCATTATCGCCGTTCGGAGTGGCTCATAATCGGGAACCCAAATTCGATTTTCCCTTCCACGAAGAACGCTATCTGCGGCAACCGTACACTCTGCAATGTTAGCGGTTAATTTCTGAGCGATATTTGGTGGGAAACTTCTCTCTCCGTGCTGGACAGCATCTCGCGCTCGTCGCCAATCATTATCGTAAATGACTCCTTGATTCCATAATGTTTGAATCTCATCGTCGTCAGATATTCTCGCTGTCGCTGCTGGGTCTGCTGTACCGAGTTGTGCATCGACAGTTAAAGCTTTGACAGTTGGTAACAGTTGCATAATTCTACCCGTGGTTCGTTCGTCATGAAGGCCATGGGGCTGATCCTGATCGCGTCTTGAGAGAGCATCCGGCCGTTCGCAAGCATTGCCAGGTCGCCATTTCAGAGTGAAATTGAACTGATGTAATACATCGTAATACCTGGCCTGCCGTTCATTGAGTAGTCGCTTGGTCATGAAATAGTCTAAGTTCTTGTGGTCGCTCAAAATCGTGAATGGCTTTGCAACAGAACGCAGTTCAGCTTTCCACTCTTGCAGGCACGTGATTATGGCCAGCATCTCTTTGTCGTGTATCGGATAATTTGCTTCCGCTCCGCTCAGTCGCTTGGAGTAGTAAGCCACCGGCCTCAGCCGGCCTTGCTTATCAGCTTGAGACAAACATCCACCCAATGCATACCCAGAACAATCGGCTTCCACCACTGTGTCTCGCTCGGGATCCCATTGCGCTAGCACCGGCTCAGTTGAAAAAATTTGCTTTAGTCGTTCGAACGCCTCGTTCTCCTCAGGTCCCCATCTCCAAATTGAATCCTTCTTCGTCAATCTGGTCAGTGGTGCAGTTACCTCCGAAAATCTATCAACAAAGCATCGATAGAAATTTGCAAAGCCGAGAAACGATCGAACTCCTTTAACCGACGTAGGTGGCTTCCATTCTATGATGCTCTTGACCTTGTCAGGATCTACGGTCACCGAGTCTCCAGCTCTCACAATGTATCCTAGATACTTCACCTCTCGACATAGAAAATTGCATTTATCAATGTCCAAGTACAAACCAGCCTTCTCTAGCTTTCCCAAGATACTTTGAACCGTTCTCCAATGATCGGCCTCACTACCATTTGTGTATACTAGAACGTCATCCATGTATGCTGTCGCATCAACATCAAGGTGTCCTCGTAGTTGCTCATTAATATAACGCTGGAAGGTTGCAGGTGCATTCGCAAGACCAAATGGTGTAACAAGCCACTCAAAAAGACCATGGCGACATCTGAAGGCAGTCATCCATTCATCTCCCTCTCTGATTCTGATACGATGGAAAGCTGACTTCACATCTAGTTTCGTGAACCACCTAGCTTTTGAAAGTTGTCGCAAAGTTTCTTTAAATAATGGAAGGGGATACCTGTCTGGAAGAGTGACTGCATTCAGCCCGCGATAATCCACACAAAATCGTAGCCCTCCGTTTGGCTTTCTAGCAAAAAGTACTGGCGAGGCCGCCGGCGAACTACTTGGTCTGATCCATCCCTTACCCAGAAGATCTGTCAATGTTTTGCGAAGCACTAGAAGCTCCTCTCTTGACATACTGTAAAGAGGGCCCCAAGGCGGATGGACTGGCTTCCCATTCTCATTTCGGAGGTTTATAGCATGGTCAAGGTGATCTCGTGTAGGCGGTAGATCATTAGCGCCGCTATCGTCAGAAAAGAGGCGCGCGAACTTCTTCACAGGGCCCGGTAATCGGTCTCGAGCATCAGAGATCTTGAGACAATGTTTCGTACGGAGTGCCTTATTTATGTCGTCTAAGGAGGCTTTGCAGACGGGAACTCCCTTTTCCAGAAAAGATAATGCCTCAACAGCAGCACGTTTAGGCTCCTTTATTCCCCTTAGTTTTTGACGCCAGCGTCGAACACTGTAAACAGAACCACCGCTCTTCCTGAGTTCCAACCGCTGCTCTTTGGAATGAATTACTGCATCCTGGTCCTCTAACCATTTCTTCCCAAGTATGATCTGATGTGTACTGTGTGGTACTACATACAGCCACAATTTTTCAGTAACAAAGCCATCAAGGTCTATGGAGACCCAAGTGATACTTTTTACTATTGGCTTGTCTTGAGATGAATTTTCTGCTGTCTGAAGGGTTCGGGGAGAGATAGGTTTACATGGTAAACTTAGTAGGGCTGCTAATTCTTCATCAATGATACCTGAACACAGGCATCCATTGTCAATTAATGCTTGCACCATAGTGACGTCGTTAACTAATGCATTAACTAAAAATGGATTTGTATTCATCTTCGGTTCTTGTTCAGCTGCTGTCAAACTTTTTGAAAACTTTTTATCCAATATTATTGGCTGCACAAAATCTTTCCTTTCTTCTTGAATCGGTCTATCACTAGTAATGGCATTAATAAGGGGTGGCGATGTGTTCTTTCTCATTTCATGATCTGTAAGACAGCTCCCCATGACAGACCTCTTGGCTGACCAACCCATTGTTTCTCCTCGATCTCTTATTTGCTGAATTACGATAGGACGGTTTATGAGTCTCGGAGAAATGCTATACGGATCCAATTCGTACACTGCCGGATCAATAGGACCTAGACCATCATCATACGGATCCACTTCGTAGACTGCCGGATCAATAGGACCTAGACCATCACCTTCCGGATCCAATTCGTACACTGCCGGATCAATAGGACCTAGACCATCATCATACGGATCCACTTCGTACACTGCCGGATCAATAGGACCTAGACCATCACCATACGGATCCACTTCGTAGACTGCCGGATCAATAGGACCTAGACCATCACCTTCCGGATCCAATTCGTACACTGCCGGATCAATAGGACCTAGACCATCACCATACGGATCCACTTCGTACACTGCTGGATCAATAGGACCTAGACCATCACCATACGGATTCTCTTTCATATTTTTTTTATAAATATGTAAACTTTTCTTAGTCTTTCGTGGATTAATTGCTGGAAGAAGGTGGCACACCCTAGATTGACATCCCCGTTTCTCACATCTGAAGCAGCTTCCTTCTTTCCGAAGCTTAGCTAGCTGATCTTCTGATTTCCATGTTGCCCTAAGAAAATTGTTTTCCTCCATAGAAATGTTGCAATGATCCCACTTCATCTTTGCAAAGTTGATTGACTGCAATTCTGACTGACTGATTGACTGCAATTCTGACTGACTGACTGACTGACTGACTGACTGACTGACTGACTGCGATTCTGACTGACTGACTGCGATTCTGACTGCAATTCTGACTGACTGACTGACTGACTGACTGCGGTTCTGAAGTTTGTGGAGAGAATTATAATATGTCACGGTTTCATAACAAAATGCATGGGCAATCTTGTAGGTACAGTATATTAATTATAATTCTCTAGAGAGAGAATTCTAACAGCTAGTGACTACAAATATATATAATCCAGAATACTCCTCCTTCCATAGGATTCCCTCCATGACCAGAATTGTTTGGATTCTTCGACAACTTCCAAGAAGATTCTGGATTACACCATTGATCTCATTGCCTGCGCTAGCTAGCGTAGGCTACAGGGATAATTAGGCTTAACAGCCGTTACACCCGTGCGAGATCTCCTATTAACAGCAGTAAACAACGCTAGCACAGAGTATACGCAATCTCCATTCGCCAAACACCGGTCAGTCGAGAATACTTATTATCGAGTCTAGCTGAATCGACAAAGTGTATCCCAACTAAGAAATAAAAGAAAACTCGACAACCAAACTCTTCATCAATAACTGCCATCAACCATCACCTGACTTATCTCTGTACTCAATAATTTCAACAAGATGGACGTATCATTGTCTTACTGCGGCAAGAATGGGCGACAGGGTCAACGCCGACTGCCATTGACGTTTCTACGCCGTACGTGAAGATCTGATATGCATTTGAGGCCGAGAAGAAAAGGTCCTAGTATTTTTTTAGAGTGTCGACCTGCCTTACAACGTTGGAGAAGTCGTAAGAAAATGTTCAAACCCGGGCACAGGAAAATAATAAGGAAGAAAGGATGGCAGAAATTCATTCAATTCCTAAATACAAGTAGATACTACAGTCTGCCGAAGAATGAACAGGTTGAGAGGTGACTACACTAAGATTGTTTCTGACCCGAGGGGAGATGGGTGTGGAAAAGAGTGATGCGGCGCAGGGTACCGTATCTCAGACATTTACTGTACCCTTTTCCTTCTTTTGTCGCTTCTGGCTTTACCGCTGGTCATGTGGGTGGCAATTAGCTCTCAGAGTCCGTCTACCCTTATTGCGTCAAACGGATGTTGGGTTCTTCCTGTCACGTAAAAGATTTCAAATTCAAACCCATCTATTTGTACTCCAGCCCAGTATCTCTGTTGGCGTGAAGCATGGAACGTGAAATTTTAAGCAATCATACGGGCATTTTCCTCCTTACAAGACCTAGTATTATGACATTGAACTTTCCTGTTTATATGTGATTAAATCTACCAAACGACTAAGCTCTAGACATTGAACCAAAACGTAACCAGGTGCCCCGGTGAACTTGACACAGAGACGTAAATAGTACCTGAAACATCTTTGAGTTCTCAGCGGGAAGTTTGTCGGTAGGCAACATTCTCTACGTTCATTCTCCTTCTTATCCCATGGTGAAGATATCAGTCACAAATTTCCATTTCTAGATCCTGCCTTGATACACATTAGGCAAACGTGGTGCCAATTAAGTATCATTATGGTAAGGACATAGTTCCCAGGTCCCAGCGGGGTTCAAACGGTAATCCTCATAGGACTTTTCATAGATTCGGAAGAATGGAGCTATATCAATTAATTGAAGGATGTATTCTACGCTGCCTATTTAACAAGAAGAAAAGTTAATGACAGCAGTTTAGGAGGTAAAGATACCTTACTTCCTCTTGGCGTGAACTGGCGCCATCGATTTGTCTTGCATGCTTTGCCGTCGGGACCTACTGGATCGCCAGATTTCGCTATATTTACGTCACAGTAATGAATCAATCTATCAAGTGCGGATATGGCGAAATTCTGGTCTTCACTACATTTGAAATACGATGCTCCATGCGCAGTAGGCACCAGTAATAGGAGGCCAGCTAGGGCGGCCGTGGAGGCAGCGCTGAGAAACTTCATTTAGAGAATTTCGTGCTCACACAAATAGACTTTGGTCTCGACTCGGCAAGCTGCTCGATCTTATGACTGAGATCCGATAGATGATTAATGAAAAGATTTCTTGGTGTTTATGGCGAATAAATGGTGATAATACTCTATGTCAACGTCCCCATCGACAAAGTCAAGGGAGTATTAGTCGACTTTCTGGATGATGAGTAGAAGTTGAACATGGACTCTGATGTATTTATATTTTTGACAAATTCATTTCGCATATCTATGTATGCTGTCTAAATTAACTGACGCGGTATCTCCCGAGTCCTGATCCATCGCAAGCTTTAGCAACTGGTTAAATGAGCCAAGATATGCCAAAGAAAATATGACTAGTAGAGTTGCCACGATTTTTTTATAAAGTGCGTTTGAAATTTAGCAGCCACAGTATATTAATTCGGATTATCTGCTGGAGAATTTCTAGAAATAGAGACTACCTACATGTACAATCTGAAATATTCCCCTTGGAGGAAGTTCTCTCTGTGATCCGAGGGACCCAGACTCTCCGACAACTTTTTCGCAGATTCATCATAAGCCTTACCAATCATGCGCGAACAGTGTGTTAGCAGAAGGATTTTGGAAATACAGCATCCTAAATTTCCTTCTATCAACCACTGCCGTTGCATGCATCTTGCCTGAACTATATCTCTGAATTAGGCCAGAAGCCCATACTTCTGATCCAATCAGACTCAACATTTGAGTCTGCTCAAATCCCATTCTTCCCAAACATATCTAGTAATAGATTTGTTCCTACTTTCTATTGCATGACTCGGTATTCGGAGTCAGTGGATATTACTTTTCTGGTCTGGGATCTCACTTATTTCTACAGTCAAGCCGGTTCCGGATAACCTTTGATCCTTGTAATTCCACTATATATATCACAATACCTTTAGTCTATTAGCTAAATAAGAAAACTTAGCTTCTTCGTTCACGGACAATTCTCACTCCGAAGTCTTCTCTACACTCTAACAAAACCCACAAGAATCAGAAAGAGGTTGTTACTTCAAATCCCAACCAACTTTGCCATCCATGTAAGCCAACCAGATTATCTCTAAGCGCCCCAAGCATTAGTTGACCTGTTCCTTTCCTTCAGCAGCATTTGGACCGCCTTTGTCATCTGAAATTGATCTTTCCAACCATGAATTAGGATCCACCGTGTTACCCTTTTGATGTCCCCGGGATTATTGATCATCGCTTCGTAGGACCAATCTTTGGCTTGTCTCCCGATCTCAGCTCTACCAATTGACCATCGGTGGCAGGTCTTTTTTTTTGCATCAGATTTTAATTTCGTATGCAGCTATCTAGCTATGACATAGTATCAGAGAAGTTTATAAAAGATGACTCAATTTACAAGAAGAGTGCTCATGCCTCAGATTTCATTTGAAAGTACCACTGCGGATTTATGGCAGCTTTTTCTTCAGCAAGTCAACCCTCATCCATGATTACCCACCCAGGGGAACGTCTCAAAAGCCCTGAGTTATGCAGACATGCCTCCGTCATCCATTATCTTTCATCTGCGCGAAAAGTGATCTGAGATGTCTCCTTCCCAAGTGGAGTAGGTGCCCAGGCTACCCAGACTATACCGGAGAACATCACCAGGAGGCGGACCATGTGTCAGGAATGCCTACTCTATAATCTATATATATGGAGATAAATCAGCACATTGAGTTCTATGATTCTGGTCTGGCCTTTTTGGCCGAGAGGTTACGCACTTATCTTGTGCACTATGCAGGGTGTAACTTCTTCCCTTGCTATGACAATTTGAATCCTGTCTTTGTTTCGCTGTAAACCCACCGCTTCTGACACCATGACTCCTCCCATTGTCTGCCTATCTTGATGGTGTCAGCTGCACTCTCGCAAGCGAAGTTTTGGCGCGCACAAAGCTCAATCTGTAAAACTCTTGCCTAAATTCGGAATTTCACGCCTGTCAAGATTATATCCTTCTCTCGCATCATCTTGTGAACTTGTCCTAGTCCCTCTCTATTGTAAAGGTAAGAGCTTACGGAGATTAATTGGCAGAAGGTTTGCGGATGATTATCAATGAATCAGTATGAACTGCTGATATATTTGATATTCAGAACTATGAGGATTTAGGAGGTTTAAAGCGCTAATTATCTACACATCTGAGGTAGTTAGACTCTCGCCTCATTTACCCAAAATAGTATCACGAAATATTCTAGTCTCCTCCGTCTGGCAGTACAATCTAGAAACACTTTCTATACAGTGCTCCATTGTTCCTCTACTCATCATGGAGCCACCTGGGAAGTTCTTCCTTCACCCTCAGTGATCATTACCCTTGTGCATCGTCTTCCTAGCCATCACAAGCACAAAACTCTCACGTCCACCCCAAATAACAGTCTCCCGGATTTGTACGCCACGCTTTGCTTCCTCTGTCGGGTGTAAATATAGGCGTAGGCGTGTATTTGGTGGTCAACTGAGGCCAGAGAAGGTTGACGAAAGGTGTGGTCATTATGATGAGGATGTGCTTGGTCGTACTTGTAGACTTGATGAGACTTAGATGGGGGAGAAGCTCATTGGGAGCGAAAAAACGACGTGGAGGAGTAATATGAAATTTTGCTTCATGGGCCAACTTCTTTGATATTGCAAAATTTAACTGAACTTGGCACTGGGAGAATATTTCACACCCACGTTCGTAGAGAACACCGCGCACAGGTTTTTATCGGAAGACATGTACTTTAAGTAGGATGACTCAGTTTGACGGTTAGAACATTCACACTCAGATTTCATTTGCAGATACCACTCGAGGTTAACCCTTACGGCGTATGATCTCTTCCGTGCATACCCACCACAGGGAAAAGCGTGAAAACCCTATGGCTATCCGAGAGTGCTTTCATCTTCCCACAATTACAATATCACCGCGAGAGAGAGTGGTGAGTGGGTCTGACTGGATTTGAACCAGCTTTCTCCTGTCTCGAATGGGGTAGGTGTTCAAGCTACCCAATATCTACTTGGGAGGACGACCCGGATGGTGTACCACTGCACCATCCAACCTACAGTTGGGTGACACTACCATTATTAATTTAGTATATTGTCCTTTCTGTTGTGAGTACCACGGATCAGCTCCAATCAAGTCTCATCGAGCTTCCACTATCGTGACACTTGGACACTCAGGCGCAGGTGTTATGATATGAGACAACGAGGTAGTCGAGGCTAAGGCATCGCGTGTGGCTCAAGGCCACAGCAGACACCACCAGTGTGTCGGTTAGGCGAGCATGTTTATAGTCTCATAGATGTAACCACTGTAAACGGACACAGGTTTAGTCTTATACTTTCTGTCCATATACCTATAGCATCGTATTATATGAGTCTACTCACTGTCAACAACTAATTATAACATCATTCACTCCTCATCACTCCGCAATGTGACTTCCGCATAGCTCATTACCACAACAGCAGGACGCTAGGCGAGATTAGGGCACTGATAGCACAGCTGAGGACCCAATCATTCTGGCAACATCCCTACGTCCGAGCGTTGCCTGCTGCACCAATACGTCTATAATGAGGCACATATCACTCTGATGGCTACTGAGGGGCAACAGCATATAATGTGACAATGGGGTGTAGCTCTGTAATCCCGGAAGTTCTATACTAGCAACCAGTATCGATGGTATGTTATGTCAGGAGATATTGGTTATGGCTATGGAAGTGGTTACTGTGACAGGAATAGGAAGCACCTGTGATGAGTGCGTGATCAGGACTTGGGGTTGAACGTGTATATAAGGAAGCAATACTCCCGTAGGCCGAAAGACAACCAACCTACAACTGTTCATTTCAACGCATCTTCGCATTACAGCTACATCAATTATATCCGCATATCCATAATCATCTGCATCCATTTCAGGTATTTCTCTGTCTACTCATGACCTCGTTTTTATGACAGTTCCGGCTTCTCAGCCTCGCCTTGCTTAGGCTGCAGGTTTTTTGACACTTTTTCCCGCGCACGCAGTTTCCATTGCTACCATTTTTATTTTTTTGGGTAGAAGGTTCCGTGGAAAAGGTGGCTGAATTCCACGGGTAAATACTGAGCTGAATGGCTATTCATTAAGGGAAATATATCAATGATCCTTCACGAAACATGAGAGGCAAGGAGCACTGTACAAGTTATGGCCTGGATCAGAGAGGAGCCCAATGTGCTAGATAGTCATAGACTCAAGTAGTACAATAAAAACACATACATCCACCTAGGGCTCAATATTTTATTCACATTAAATATATATCCCTAGCAGACATGCATGTTCTAGCCGAGTAATAAGGGTTTTCAAAGGCAATGTTCTCCAGGTTATTTTCCCTCATAATCCATTGCCAATTTCTATTCCCAGACCCTGCCATGACAAATTCACTACACCGATGTGTCGCCTGTTGTTAATTTTCTCGGAACAAACATAGTTCCCACCCTTCGTTTTTTTCTCACAAATGCGGAATGTTGGAGTTTCATCAATCAATTGAACTATATATACCGTGGAGTCTTCATACCAAGAAAATGGTTACTGAAAGCCAGATCAGAGGACCATTTAACTTACATCCTGACTTTGGTATCAAGTTGAATCGACGTGTGCGGTAAAACTCGCCGTTGGGATCGAGAGGATCGCCAGACTTCGCTCTTGTCACATCACAAAATGATCTATCGCGTTTGAGTCCTTTTACGCCGAGTTTTCGTCATAACTACATAGAAAATGTGGTTCTCCGAGCGCAACAGGCACCAGTAAGAGAAGGAAAGCCAGTGCGGCCGTGGAGGCAGAGCTGAGAAACTTTATTGGGAGAACGTCGTACTAACCAAGCCGAAATTTGGGCTTCAAACACGAATCCACCTGTTCTTTCACCGAGGTCCAAAGGATAATTGATGACGAGATTTCCTGGAATTTATAATGAAAATGTGATGCCAATACTCGGTACCAATGTCTCTGTCAACGACGTCAAAAGAGTCTTGGTTAACTCTCTGGATAATGTTTAGA